TCAAACTCTTCAATGAAATTGAAAAGGATGCAATCCTCCCAAAATTGTTCCTGAAAGCAAGTATTATGCTGATACCAAGACCAGGGAAAAACACAATTAAAAAAGAGAACAACAAGCCAATCTCTCTCATGAACATAAATGCAAAAGTTCTCAATAACATACTATCAAATAGAATACAGAAAATCATCAAGAAGATTATACACCATGACCAGTAAGGATTCATTCCAGGGATGCATGGATGGCTCTGTATATGCAAATCTATAAGTGTAACACATTATATCAATACAGCCAAATATAAAAACCACATGATCATCTCAATTGATGCAGAAAAAGCCTGTGAGAAAATCAAACACTCATTCATGTTCAAAGTCCTACACAAAACTAGAATAGGTGGCCTCTACATCAATTTGATAAAAGCCATCTATGACAACTCAATGGCTAACATAATTCTAATTGGGAAAGACTCAAATCTTTTACTCTCATATCTGGTACAAGACAAGGAGTTGTCTGTCAATGCTCCTATTCAATATAGTTTTGTAATCATTAGCTAGTGCCATTAAACAAGAGAGAGAAATAAAAGGAATATGAATAGGTAAAGAAGAATTTAAACTGTCATTATTTCCAGATGACATGATACTTTTCTTGCAAAACCAAAAACCTCCACCAAGAAGCTACTAGAATTAATACAGAAATTCAGTACAATAGCAGGATACAAAGTCAATACCCAAAAGTCAATAGCATTCCTCTACACAGATAGCAAACACACAGAGATGGAAATTAGAGAAACAATACCTTTTACAAAAGCACTGCGGAAAAAGAAATAGCTTGGAATTCATCTAACTAAAGAAGTCAAAGATCTTTTCATGGAAAATTACAGTACCCAGGTCTATCACCATGCACTAAGCATGTCAAAATGGACTAAATATCTATACAATAAAAGAGAAACACTTATCCTGGAAGAGAAAGTATGAGGAACTCTTGAAGACATAAGGGTAGGCAAAGAGTTCATGAACAAAAACCAAATAGCACAGATAATACTTGAAAGAATTAAAAACTGGGACCTCCTCTTATTGAGAAGTTTTTGCATGTCAAAAGAAATTACCAACAAAGTGAGAAGACAACCCACAAATTGGGAATAAATTTTAACTAATAAGCACTCAGACAAAGGTCTGCTCTCTAAAATTTAAAGAGCTAAAAAAAAATCTGGGCATCTAAATTTAAAGACCCAATCCAGAAATGGGCATCCAAGATGAAGACACACTTCTCTGAGGATGAAATTTTAGAAGCAAATAAATATATGAAAAAATGCTCCACATCACTATCCATCCATGAAGTGCAAATTAAAACAGCACTGAAATAACATCTCACCCCAGAAAGAATGACTATGAAGAAAAAATCAACCAACAACAAATGTTGGAGAGCCTGTAAGGATAAAGGAACCCTTCTCCACTGCTGGTAGAAATATACACTGGTGTAACCATTATGGAAATCAGTGTAGAGACTCGCTAAGAAACTAAGACTGGAAATCCCACTTTAACCAGCTGTCCCCCTACTGGGAATTTTCCAAAAGGGACTGAAAACCTCCCATCATAACGGTATATGTGCACCTATGTTTATAACAGCACAATTTGTGATAGCCAAATCTTGGAAACAACTAAAATGTGCATCACCTGAGCAATGGATGAAATACATGCGGTATTTTTGTACAATGGTGTATTACTCAACTATAAAGAATGATAAGCTAGAAGCCTTTATATTTAAGTCAATACCACTTGAAGATATAAGTGAAATAAACAAGACCCACATGTGTAAATATCCTATGGTCTCGCAAGCATAAGAACTCAGAAGAAGAAATAAAAATAGAAAGTTATAACTCAATTAAATGGAAAGTGAAAAACTAAGAATTAAATAATGAAGAGAGGTCAAGGAGAAAAAGCTAGGAAACATGACAGGGGCAAAACCACACACTTGTATGCACAAAATGGTTAGGGCAACGATCTTGACAATCTTCAGCAGGTTTTTAAAACTAGCAGTTGATTGGTAAGATTCTTACCCTGACTAACTACATATACTGATACCTGTGAACTAAGCAATTGCACTGAAGATAGCAATGGGTAATACTACGGTAATGCTTGGAATTTCTGTCATTCTGGTCTTCTTTATTTTTGAACTGGGGATTGAACTCAGGCCCTTTTGCTTGCCAGGGAAGCACTTATTCTACTAAGCCATCTCCTCGGCCCCTATTCTGATCTTCTAATTATGTACTGCTTCTAATGTCATGTCAATTACTAGTATACTGTCTCTCAAGTAAATGTTTAAAGAAAAGGGGTAATAAGTGAAAACAAGAGACAAATGTAGGGCTGTCCTGTTACAGTGCTGTATGTGGTCAGATTTCTAAGTTTCTGTGCAAAACTATGTAATTGCTTATTTTTATTTTCTTAAATATTTTTCAATTTTTTTATGTTTTTCTTCATATTCTACAGGGATTTAACGTTGAACATATCAGTGCTTGATAAAAAATACCTGTTATATTTTATGTGCAAAAGTTTGATATTCAGACAGATAGTGACATTAGGTTCAACTGCCTATGTTATAGAATAATAATATCATTAAGCTTCTCTTCTGGAGGGTTAACACCTTAAGTTTTCAGACCAAAAGTTAGAGGAAAAAAAAGGCTTGCAAGAACAGCCAACATTTTGGCCCTAGCCTTTCAAGGTCAGTGAGAACTCAGGATGTAAGAGAACCTGTACTATAATATCCTATAACTCATTGGTGTCCCAAATTTTCTGATCAAGGAGATTATGGCGCTACAGAGGAAAGTGATTGGTGATGTATAGGGTGCCTAATGAGAGTCATATATAGAGAAAATATTCTCTCAGGCTTTCACAAAGAAAATATTGGTCAAGCAATGGCCATGACTTATCCACATGGCTGACACTGACAAAGGATGTACAAACTGGGGTATAAGGTTTCAGAATAAATCCTGAGTGGATTTGACAGCCCTTGTCAGATAAAAAAGTTGCATTTCTTGTTATATAGGTCTTGCTTTATCTTGGTCTTCACCATCCAGCAGAAAAGTATAAAAACGAAGTATAAAATGTAAAGCCATATTAATATGCTGAGTTATAAAAGGCTCAAGTTAACAACTTCTGACATTGCCAGTCCTGCAGATAACCCACTGCTATTATGCACTACTGACTATATTTTGCTGAATTCACACACCTATAATATTTAAATATCAATGGAATACCCATCTCTGACAAAACTAAACAAAAATGGGGATAGAAATGAGGACCATTTTGTATCTGTATATACAAAATAGTTAGGATAGATATACAACTACTTTGTCCTAATTCAATGAGAAAAAATAGATGTACTAATAGTGTTTGGACAGGATATTATGTCTGCATTTTGTACTATGAATAAGCACTATGAAGACAGCAATATGCAATTTATTATTTATTGAAACTGTCCTTCTAATCAATTTTGAAACTATCTGATTGCTCTTTGTTTCTCAATAAAATTAATAAAGTATGTTCTGTTGTCATGTGCCAATTACTTTCACTGACTTCTTAAGGTATTAATTGCCTCTCAATTCATGTGTGTTTTCTTCTACTGACTTCTAAAGTTTCCTCCTTATTTTTCATGTTTTATTTTACTAGTATGTCTTTTATTAGTTTGCTTTCATTTATCCAAATCTGTGTTTAATTTACAGTCATATATCAATCTCAAATTATTAATTATGGAAAAAGTTGAGTTATTGTCACTCAAGTTTTAATTTCCCCGTTCTTTCTATTCCCATCTGAAATCACTGTATTGATTAGACTCTCCCCATTTTAGCCTCCATATGTCTTAAATGGGCTTTTCATAAATATACCTTTATGTTGTTCCACCTGTCATAACTTCCACCTGTCAGTTTCCTAATCATCCTTTCTTAAGCAGCTATCATTTTCTTGCCTTACTTATACCTTAATCTCCATGGGCATGTTAAACATTTCTATTTTAAAGGTTTTTCATGTTATCTGTTGATGCATGAAACTTTCTGTGCTATTCATATGGGCATGCACTATGCAGTTGTTTATAATGTAAGGTTTGTAAATTTATCCTTGGGAGAAATGACAATTCCCTTGGAAATGCTGTGTAAACTGAATTATAGGGAGCTTTACTGGGAAGATAGTATTATTTCAGGTTTGCTCTTTTGGGCCATGAACATGGTAATAATTTCTATGAAATCTGATTCTTATTTCTACGTTGTGAATTGAGTAATTGAGTTCTCTTCTTACTAAATTGAGTACACCTGAAGTTCATGAGTTACAAGCTACCCTTTCTGGCCACAGTGCTAATATAATTCACCTGTTACATTCTTAACTTCAGTAGTCCTAACTTCTGTTATCTCCCTTCAAGACTACCATGCTTAGGAAAGCAGCTTCATTCCAGGTTCAAAAAACATCAAAATACTTGATACCAACACCCTCCAAGTGAGGTTCATTAAAATTATATCCTTAACCTCTATATTACTTCTGATTTTCCTGTTTCTTCTTTTTCCAGTGGGAAAAAAAGAATACATTTCTTCTATTTGCCAATATCAGTTATGCATTAGATTTTTTTTGCCATTTTCTTTAGCTATCTCTTATGTGTGAAGTAGAAAGGAGACGTTTTCCTGCCTATCTACTCTGTGAGATAGCCCTGATAGATATGTGAATTTTAATTTACAACAGGTGGTAATTTATATATCAACATATAAAAAGCTGATGGACAGACTCAAAGCCCTTTTTAGGGATTTAGAGTGAAAGTTGTATGTTGGGAAGTCATAAGAAAAAAAAAAGATCTCTGCTATGCAGGTACTTTTCTACAGGACAATTTGAATTTTCCATTCCACTGGTAAGCAATGTCATTTCTTTGCATGCACCAAATGCTTCAAGAGTTATTTTTGGTATATAATGCACTATCCTTCATTTTCAGTTAGTTTCTATTAATTTTTAGTTGCTATTTTCATATAGGTCCATAGCAGATGATACTGCACACACCCTTTCCAGCAGGTAAACTACCTAGGAAATACTTCTTAAAAACAAATATGTTGAAATTAAAACTGAAAAATTGTTAATTTTCAAATAATTGTTCAATATGTTCTGTTCAATATAATTTTCACTCACAATTTATAAAGGTTTCAGTCAATAGGTGGTGCCAAGCATTGCTTAGCAGAGGGGCATCGTAGAGGAGAAACTGTTCTTTTATTTATTTATTTTTATCTTTATATATTTGTTTTTAAATTATTATTTTTTATTTGATTTATTTATTTATTTATTTATTTTTATCTTTTTGCTGAACCAGGGATTGAAGTCAAGCCCTTGTGCTTGCCAGGGAAGCACTTATTCTACTGAGCCATCTCCCTGGCTCTGAGAAACAGTTCTTGATGTGCAGAGAGCAACAGCAAGCAGCGGCCCTGTCTTTCCCTTATCCATTCCAGCATGTGAGACTTTTGGATGCTGCCACCCACTCCCAGTATAGGCTTCTGAATTCAGTAAATTCATCTGACCACACCCAGAACTATGCTCATCACAATTGGTGAACTAATTTAGTAGCACACGGTCTTAATCCCATTATCATAAACCCTAGATCTGGCAACATCCAAAAAGCCTGACTATGGCTGCATAAGGTTTCAGAGGGACATTGAGATAAAAACCATAACACCATATAATCTTTAAGGTTTTATTGATCACCTACTTTATAATAAAAGAGGAAAAATACTACTGTAATCTTATAAAACAAAAATCATTTATAATTAGTTTCCAAAGCAAGCTGAAGATTTTCACATCTTCTATACTTGGATACACAAAAGGGAGTATAAAACTTTGTTTTAATTGCTTTGACAACTGCAAACTAAATTCCAAAAACTGAGTGAATAATCACTTCACCTAGGAAGTGTTTACTTAAGAGATTACCACAAACACTAAGATCTGTGTTCCCATAAATCTTTCACATGCCACAATTTTGTTGACAAGACTTCTCTGAATTATTTTTCAGTTTTAATTTTTGTTGTTGTTCTTTTTCATGCTTCACATGATTTTGTAATCCCTCTGAAATGACCAGGTATTTTCCAGTCTGTTTTTTCTTCATTGTGGAATTTTCATTTCTTTTCTATTGTTTCGTATTTTTCCTTAAAATGACCTCTTTTGTTCGCATTTAATCCACTGCTGTTCCAGAATATACTTTCTAACAACAAATTAAAGCTTTTAGGAAGCTTTAATCATCAGGAAATATGAATTTCTGTCCTCCCTGATAGAAGTGAGTCCATCCATTAGGAAAACCACAGCTTTCTGTACTTTATTTTCTTCCTTGTTGTTCTTGGATGTTTCCTTACCTGACCACTGTGTTACAGACATTAGTTACCCCACATCAAATATGACAAAAACTTGATTTGATTTATCATCTCTGTTCTGTCATTGTCACAGAGGAAACTGTGATTGAGGACTAGAGCACTGAAGTTCTCTTAGATTTATACTCTCCTTGAAGCACTAACCTCCCTTTATAATCCTAAATTGTTGTATGATGAGCCATATTTATTTTGTTCATCTTCAATTTATAGGTAGACCGTACAGAGAAAATGTACTATAAATAGCTGTTTAGTGAATGAATGGTTATTCTTAAAGTTCACAGTGCACATAGAGAATATGTCATTCATACTAGAAGTGATTGATATTCAGCAATTTGAGGGGTACTAAAGGGCATCATCCATAGGGCAAATATGCATAGCACTGGAAGAGTGTATTAAGAAAAGTCTGTGCACACACCTAGCTTTGTTTACCATGTGCCTGAAAAGCATTTTCCATTCCTTCATTTCAATTTAATAGGCTGAGCAGATATAGCAGATTGCTGTACTTTACCATTATTGTTAGTATCTAGTATATTTTTATTTACATATGCTTTTAGTGTTATTTTTTTTCTTTTGTAAAGCCAGTGGAAGAAACTTATACAACCAGATTCTATGATTATAAACACAATGAAACAAGAAATGTACATGTGTGGCACTAGTCTAATATTAAAGTCTAGACATAAAAAATCTGAGCACTTACTATATTAAGTTTGCCCAAAGTTTCTTAGAATAATAGAAAAAGTGCAACTATAAGGATTGAAGATATGAAATATTGAAGTTGTAGATAGGAATAGAATGGCACTTCATTTAACTATTGTCACTGATTTTTCTGTGTCAGTATCTACACTTTTTCTGTGAATCAATCTCTTGTTCTCTATACTTTTTCTCTCTCCAATGATTTTCTTTTGGGATTTAAAAACGAATCTGTGACTGTAGTATGGAAAAGAATCCCAAGGATTAGGATATTTAGTTGTAATTAGTATAAAAATAACATATTGGCAGATATTTCTTTTTTTCATCAGTTGGAATAGAAAAATGAAGAAATTGCCATAGAAAATAGGCACAATTTTGACAAGTTATATCATATTAAACATTTTCTTATTTACTTAGGTCAAAATCAGAGGAGAGCATCAAATTAAATGAAAATACGTAAGTATATTAGAAGATATACTTAAATATATGTGTATATATTTAAATAAAAAGGAAATTCATAATCCAAATGTCATTTTTCATTATTGATTAGTTACAAGAATTGGTAGAGAAATGTAATAATAGATAATCAGTATTTATTATATTTTTTATTAAATTAGTTTCTCAGTTTCAGTTTAGTAATGGTCTCCTAAGTTTATTGGGGTTGGTTTGTTTGTTTTTTTTGTTGTTGTTGTTTTTTGTTGTTGTTGTTGTTGTTGTTGTTTGGTGGAACTGGGGATTGAACTCATGGCCTTGCACTTGCCAGGGAAGTACTTATTCCACTGAGCCATCTCCCTGGCCCATCTCCTAAGTTTATTGGGAACTTGTTTTGTTATTGGAAAGCAATTGTAGTGTTGATATTAATGAGAGTCGTATCTGTCAATTAATTTCTAAAATACTCTAGTGATGATCAAGACCACTTTATCTATTAGCCCTTAGAGACATGGTTTCTTGTGCCTTTGAGCTTTCAGGGACAAACTCTTCACCACATAAAAATATTTGTACCCTAAACATTGAAAAACTTAAATTAAAATTTGTTCATATTTCTTAATAGAAGTAAATATATTACCTTGGTATAATCATAAATATTTCATTTTATAGAAAAATGTTAAATTTTCTCATTTACAACTGATTATTAGTAAAAAGTAGAGCTCCAAAGAAATCAGAGAAAATCCTATTATAAGTAATTATAATTTATTATAACTTTAAAAAACAAAATTTTATATTATCAGAAATTATTTGAAAATTTACATTCCACTAAATTCTAGAAGAATCATAAGCTCATGTGACCAAACAAAATTGCACCAAGAGAACGTAAGGAATTTAAATCATTAATAGCAAACAAGGTTGCAATAGTAACAAAAACTCTAAGGATCAAGGAAAGCCTGAGACTTGATGAATTTACTGCTTAACTAATATCAAGGAATTTCTCTAGACAATGGGGGAGAGAATGAGTCAAATAATAGTATGTGGACAGCATTAGCATAATTAAAAGCAAATAAGGACTTAACAGAAAAACAAAAACTATAGACCAATAACTTAATGAACTTACATGAAGAAATTCTCAATGAGTGTCTGGCAAACAGACTTCATCAATGCATTGCGAAATCCTACTCCATGACCAAGTAGAATTCATTGCCAGGAATCAAGGATCACTCAAAATATGTGAATTAATAGATATCATATACCACATGAATAACATAAGAATAAAAAATGCATCATCTCAATAGAGGAAGGAAAACATTTTGACAAATTTCAACATCCCTTCCTGAGAAAAAGCTTGAAGAAACAGTTATATCAGGACATATTCTCAAACTCAAAAGTCTTGTATGCCAAAAGCACAGCTGGCATCATGTTGGACAGGAACATCTAGAAGACTTTCATCTAAATCATTAATGAGCTCCAGGCCCGGCATGTGCATGGGACTGCCCAGGGTCCTGCAGAACCTCATTACAGCCAGCACCCAGGGCTGGTGTGTGTGGCGGGACTGCTCTGGCCCCCTGGATCCTCATTCCAGCCAACTCTAGGCACAGCATGTGAGTGGGACTTTTTCCATCAGACAGGCCCAGCGTGGAAACCTGAGGCAGAACTCCCTGCAGAGAGGCTAGAGGCAAGATGCACCCAGCTAATCCAGGAGCAAAACATCTTTCCAGAGTGGCACAGCAGGTTCACTTCAAAAGGCTGAAGCAGGAATAAGTGGATCACAGAAGCCACACCCAAGCCACACCCACCTGGACAAGTTTGAACTTGGTAGATCCAGACCTGGTGGTAAGGTAATATCTGCACCATAACTCTGCATCAAAGGTCAAAAGATAGTACTATTCAAAAGACAAAGAGAAGGAGCAAAATGCATTACCAGGCCCCGAGCCCACCTAGAACAAATGCAGGAAGCAATAGCATAGAAGAAAATGGGAATCACACACCGGAAATCTCTGAGATAATAGCGTCGGAAGTAAAGAAACAACTGCAGAAGGGTATAGAGGAAATCAGATCGGAAATAATTTCTGAAGTAAAAAAAAAGATAGATATAATGAAAGAATTATTAAGTGATTCTGAAGAAGACACTGATAAAAAAAGTAGAGAATAAAAAAATGATATAATTCTTGAATGACCAATATAGGAAATTAATAGAAATCATGAAGCATATTCCAAGGGATATATAGGGAGATAAAACCTCAATCACAAGCTGGCAAAAACATATGAATGAAAATAAAGATAGACTTTCAGACACTGAAGCCACAATTGCAGCTAGTGAAAAGGTTAAAAAAAAAAAAATTCTTAAAAACGACTAGAATCTTTAGAGGCTGGAGAGATGGCTCAGTGGAATAAGTGCTTCCTTGGCAAGTACAAGGGCATGAGTTCAATCCCCTGTTCCAGAAAAAAAATAGGATTCAGGAAAAAATAATTCAACATTTGCAAGATGATGCAAAGATGAACAACATAAGACTACTAAGCATGAATGAGAAAGGAGTCAATACAAATGATATAAAAACAATATGGACAGAAGTAATAGCAGAAAACTTTCCAAATATAGGGAAACAATATGGCATTCAGGTAACTGAAGGATATAGAACTCCAAATAACATTAACCCAATTAAAACTACACCCGGACATATAATAATCAAGATCCCAGAAATTCAGCACAGGAACAATATACTAAAAGCCACTAAAGAAAAGAAATATCACATTTAAAAGAAAACCCATGAGAATAATGGCATATTTCTCTTCAGAAACCATCAAATAAAGGAGAGCATGGAGCAAAGTACTACAAATCTTGCAAGAAAACAAATTGCAACCCAGACTGATACACCTTGCAAAACATTCTTTCAAGTTTAATGGAGAAGTGAAATACTTCCATGGCAAAGAACAACTAAAGAATTTCATGAAGACAAAGCTAACCCTATACAGACTATTAAAAAATATTCTAGAGAGGGATCAAAATGACCACAACTCCATGAGTGAGAACAGAAAGAACCCAACAAATAGAGCAAATAATTAAACACAGGAGAAAAGGGGGTGTATAACAGCAGGTAAATAACATATCAAACATAAATCAATGCATGTCAATTATAAACATCAAAGTACATGGACTCAATTCAATTAAAACAAATAATTGGAGAGTGGATTAGGATGCAAAATTGAACAACATTTTGAATAAGACTTCATCTATCAACTGATTGGTTTATCTTCAAAGTTTTGTCCAACTTGTAATTTCAATTATTCTGTGATTTTTGCCTCTGGAACACAGTTTTTCTCATGAATTGTAAGTAATGCTTTATCCTGGCTTTATGACTTTTTAACTTAGAAATAAATTTTCTGCAAGATTAGAATTCAGTTTAGATGCTGCCAAATTCCTTACCAATTTGAATGTGGGGAAATTAGAGAAATTATATACTGAAAAAAGAAAAGATATTCTATACTATACATCTTGGTTTTGGAATATTTTTACAAAATAAACATGTGTGTACATTACTCTTAAATTCTGTAATTATTTTAAAGAAAAAATCATTTAAATCACGCTCCCAGTGTTAAATGATAAATCTCTTCTAATTCTAGAGAAGTATATATAAAAAAATAAATCTTATTGCTAAATGTCACTTTTTGTATTATGTTCTAGATTTTTTTAAAATTAGGTATTTAAATGATAGACCTTCATTTGGCCTCCAATCTACTTCTAGATTTTGATTTTTTTTTTTTTTTGGTATTTACTAACATTTAGGTTTGGATTTTGATTATATAGCTTTTACTGTATTCAGTGTGAAAATATGTGATCTTGTATTTATCATTCTTTTGTTTTCAGCACTGCTGTGGTCTCAAATTTCACACTTATTATTTGTTAAATCCTAAAATCCTATGAGTAGACTTCAGACCACTGTTCTTGATCCTTCATATTGTTTTTTATTCAATGAGACTTTTTGATGTGTGTATATGTAACATACATGACAATCTTTACTGCTATTTGATCAATAGTATGAAAGTTATGAACATAATACATTTTTATTCTATAAAAAACAAATATAAAATAAAATAACTGAAATTAATAAAATAGAATAAAATCATTAACAATTATTCCCAGAGTAACAGTGCTGGTAACTACAGTGTGAGTCTGTGCTCTGTCCTTCCTCCATGTACCCTGGGACAGTAGTACAGATGAGGAGAGCATAAATAGACACTCCACCATTCATCCATTATCTCTAAGATGGTGAGGCCAATGAGAGGAGTCAAGAGGAGTATCCATGCTCTGTGTGTCCTCTATGCCCTGACATGCCTAGCCAGTAGAGGAGTACAATGGTACAGGTTAGATGTATATTGCAGTACGGGCAAGAGGAGACACTAAGAAACAGATACCTCTAAGCAAAGCCTCCACCTCAGTGAAGAGGCTATCTGACATTAGAAATCTAAATACATCAGCACAGAAAACAAAACAAAGTAAAAATTAAAAAATGAAAAATGACAAGATGAAAAAACATAATGGAATCCTAAACTCCCAGAGCAACAAGGATAAGTCCATAACACATAGAAATAAAAGCAATCAGAAGCCAGCAAATGGAACTCTTGTAATGATATCAGAAGTGGGAAAGTAAATGCAAGAGGTGACAGAAAAATAATCTGTAAGGTACAGAAATATGGCTATTAAAAATACAGACATTAAAGCAGACACAAATACAGGAGCTCAGGAAAACTATAGAAAGCATGAATGCTAATCATAGACAAGAAATGGAGTCAATGAAACAGATCTAAGTAGAAATGCAGAAGACTAGAAATTCTATTGTAAGCATGTGCAGCAGATTGAATGAAGGTAAAGATAGAATATGAGAACTAGAAGACAGGAACACAATTAGTAACTATGAATTGAAAGATCTTAAAAGTTTCAAGAGATCATGAAAAGTCAATCCAACAGCTACAGGACACAGCAAATCAGAGCAACATAAGATTGACTATAATAAGTAAGAAAGCTA